CGGCCATAACCTGTCGGAAGTGACTCACATGCATGTATGGATCAGTTTTTCCGTGATAAAGTGTGAACTTAGGCTGGTGGAAGCCTGCCGGAAGTGGTGTTGTTTCAATTTCCAGGGAAAAAGGAGTGGCACTCAGCCTGGCCAAGTCCATATCTTCAAGGAGTGGCACTGCTTGGCGGGGCGAAGGCATTCCGACCTCCTCGCTGGCGTGAACCCCGTAAGATAGTCGCTGGAAAGCTGGTATTCTCTGGGCTTCACGCCGGCGGGCCCACTCCTTTAAGACCGCCCGTAAATCCTCTGACTGAGCGGAGTAAGAGTACCTCGACGTCGTCGCCGGACGTGAGGGTTGTCTTGCGTGCTAGACTTTCCTATCAACCACGTCGGAATCACCATCCTGTAAACTTCTGGTAATGGATATTGACTGAGTGCGTCGCTGACTCTGACCGCCTGAAGGCGATGGGGTGCGCTCACTGTGGTCTCCCATCCAACTACATCCTTCCCTTTGACATGCCGCTTGAGATCTTCCATCTCCATCGTCATTCGCCGGATGAACAGCATCTTGATCCTCAACTTGCTTTCCGTCGCCTGGCGTGCGAGTCTCTCCTCCGCCGGTGACCGTCTGGACTCCGTGAATGACCATGACTCCTTCCGCGCTTATCCCGCGCGTCTCCTGACTGTCCTCCAGTGGGCGTCCCCAAGTCAGCCATTGGATGGACGGCAGGAGGTCCCTCTCTCCTTCGGTTATACTCCGGGGTGGCTCCGTCGATGGCGGACAACGGAAACTCGTCGTTGTTCGCCATGGACTGCGATCAGACGAGCCTGGAAGACAAGGTTTTGTCTTCTGTCAAGCTTCCCACAGACGGCGCCAATTGTACGGGGAGCAAATATTCCGGCAAGCCCGTACTCCTTTCTTCCGAGCTCCGTCGATGTCTGATCACCTGCGAGCAAGTAACGGTGAGCTACCCGGCGGTGTGTGGCCGGAAAAACCCTCCGACGATCAAGTTAGCACACACCTTAGGATGGATAGAGAGAAGGGAGAGCGTGTTTGAGTGTGAAAATTCCTTACAGAGATGTTTGTGTGTCGCGTATGGGGGGCGCAGACATGCTTATATACCTTCTGAGCCCCATATCCACTCCCAGTCATCTTCTGACACGTGGCTCTGCTATCCCATCTGTCAGCATAGATCTTGCTGAACGTCACCTAATCTCAACTGCCTGACTTCACAGCTGGAGCTCGGCAGCCGAGCTGCTCTACCACGGCCATGCCATGCCTCATACCCAAGCATTTTCCTGGCAAACTCCAAGGTGGGACCGGGCTAGGAGGCATCTCGGCAAAGCCTAGCCCGAAGCACCCCGTGGTCAGCTTACATGCCGGTCAAACGATAACCTCGGCCGACCGCGCCTTTCCGGGCGCCGGTTACTCAGCTTGTCTAGCTTCGGCTAACCTCGGACCGAGCATCCTAGTCCGACCGAGCACTCCCTTACCGAGCTGCTACATTACGGTCTGGGGCGGGACGCACTCAGCCCAAGTTCTGGCAGACCTTCTCTGGGCGAACAGTCGATCATCTCGGCCCAATGCACTGCTGGGCTCTCAACCTGCTCGGTCGCTACCTCGGCCCAACTCCAGATCATAAATCACCCTCTCATGTGGTATAGATAACTTAGCTAACAAAAGAGTCTCTCTCACTTTAGCATGCAAAAGCACGACACCAATAGAGGAGTAAGGAACGTGGTCGAAGAAAACGTGAAGAACAATGCAGAATATGAAGAAGAATAAGAGTAACAATAATGAAGAAGTTCCAAAGTAGAAAGAGCGTCACATAGTTTTATGGTCTCAAGAGGTCACTTCCTTCTCCTGTACTTCCTCTGTTTTGTTCTCTTAATCGCTTGATTGGTTGGTTTGTCTGATATTTAATGCATGAATTACTTGACTTGCAGGAGGATGATATACCTTGCGAGCAAATTCGTATTCATGGAACCGAAAAGTATAGATCTTCTAATCAATTTTCATTTTTGTCGTATTGATATGATAGGAGGTCAGTGTTAATGAATGAAATTGATGGATTTTATTAGAATATATGTTTGCAGTTCGCCTATCATTGCATCAAAATTCAAGGATAAAACAACCAGACAATGCTGAAGAAGGTTTAAGCAAAGCTTTACCTTTGGCCTGAATGCAAGTTATTAACTTAATATTCCTATATATAAAAGGCATATTATGTAAATCTGGTTACATGAGTTTGTAGAGGCATGTACTTGTATCATGGCTTATGAAAGGCATATTATGTAAATCTGGTTATGTTATCTAGATTTTTTAAAAAATTTTGTTAGGTGTTTGTACTTGAAAGAAATGATGTACGATGTTTATAATAAAAAAACTATTTGCAACAACAAAAAATTCATTGCTAAAAAGCTATTATTGTACTATTTATAAATGCCATTGAAAACTATTTGCGACGGTAACAAAATGGTCGCCAAAAAACCTGTTAGTATTTTTTCTTTGTTTTTTGCGACAACAAAATAACGGTCGCCATAAGTAGTTTAGGTGGTCGCAAATAATTTGCAACTGCTGCTTTGTCATCGTAAAAAGTATTTGCCACCCTACATTCGCGTCCCCCATTTGCGATTGCATGAGTCGTCGCAAAAGGTCTTTTGCGACTATATTTTTATTATTTGGGACGGTGTGTGATGATCGCGAAATGTACTTTTTCTAGTAGTGTTTATTGTAAAATAATGGTGAAGGAAAATCTTTGATCAAGTGAATCCCTCAAATTTAGGCAAAGAAAATACTAAGAATAATAATTTTATATATTTACATACAATATTTTATATATATCATAAATGAAATATATCTAATAATAATTTTCTCTCTCCTAGATATATGGTATAATATATATATATATATATTATAATAAAAGTTTATAAGGGTAAAGTAGTCCACATAATACTTCTAATATGGAAAAAAAGGACATATTGAAATATAAGTTCAAATGTATGGGATTAGGTGGAACATAAGAATACTTTGTGAACTTATTGGGTTACAAGTCTTTTAAATGGGATTTAGAGGATTTTTTTTAAGGTCCCTGGTATTAAAATTTTAAAACATAAAGGACATTCAATATTTTCATAATGTCTAAGATCTCTCAAAATTGATCCAGAGAAATTGCAATCTAGAGAAATTCTTCCCAAATAAATTCTCTCCAGAGAAATTCTAGATTTTCTAAAGAATTTCTCTAAGTTCAAACTAGAGAAAATTCAAATTTTTCTCAGTTCAAACCAGAGAAAATTGAACAATACAAAGAAATTTAAACAGGGCAGAGAAAATTACCCTGAGAAAATTGAAATTTCTCTGAGTTCAAACTAAAGAAATTCAGAGAAAATTGAAATTTCTCTGGTTTTGTTCACAAATTTCTTTGACTTTGTTCAGAGAAAATTGAAATTTCTCTCCAGAAAAATTTTGGACTTCTTAAAGAAATTCCTAACTCAAGCCTTCGTGATCATGTTCTTCCTTCAAAGAAATTCTGGAAACCCAGAGAAATTCCAAAACAAATCATTAACACCTTCACGTACATGAAACAATACATACACAATCATATACACATATACACAATTCAATTACACACACACACACACACACATATATATATACATATAGAGAGATAGAAAGAGAGAGAGAAATTAAGGGAACTTGTGGTGTTAACGACATAACCTAAAGATGCCACAGATAGCCAAAGCTCGACTCCAGAGCTTCACGCTGCCCTTTCTTCTCTTTCTCTCTCTTCTCTCTTTCTCTCTCTACATGGAATTTCAGAGGAGACTTGAATGAGAAACCGATGAATGATTTTCACTCTGCGTTAGTAAAAATCATGTTAGTAAAAATTAGTATCTCTGCCACCACTAGCTCCGCCTCTTTTACCACTGCTACTCCTTATCGTCGTCGTCTTCACCGCCTTCTTAGCGGAAACTCCTGTTGCTGCTGTTGCAGAGGAGGAGGCGGTGGCTAATCTTGTTGCTTGCGGTGGAATTGATGGAATTGGTGGTGATGAAGACTCTAATTCTTGGAAGCGATCAAATCGACTTTGGAGAACAAGCCTAGCTCATTGTCGTACATGGATTTCTTGGCAGAATCGGAGAGGTCTGAAAATGGAGAAGTTGGTAGAGAGAGAGAGAGAGAGAAATGATGTTTGATTTGGGAGAGTCAAATTTCTCTGTAATATATGAGTGTGGGATTAAGGGACCTTAGACATCACAAAATATTATTGTGGATATCTTTCATTACTAAAAATAGGAGAAGAACCTTATACTAATTTTCTCATTTATAAACAAACCTCTCAAAATATAAAAATATTTTTTGTATTAAGATTTAACTTTGACTTAAACCTTCTTTTTCATGTCAAAATTTGACAATTAAAGATTGGTTTAGGAAAACAAATTGTATTTTTATTTTGTTTTTTACTACGTTATTATAAAATTATTACTAAAACAACTGATAAATTTGAAAAATGCTAAAAAAAAACTTATTGTTATTGAAATAATTCAAGTGGAATTTGAATTTTATTTATTTATTTATTTTTAACTTTTAGATCCTTAGTCTAAAAGGACACGAAAAATTTTAAATTTTTCTTCAAGACAAAAAGACAGTTTGAGAAAACGTGCTTTTTCTTTAGCACTTATCAAACATGATAGGCTAGGTTAAAAAGTGAATTTTTTCCCTTTTGTCACCTAAATCAGTTGAAACCATACAATAATAGCCAAAAAAATTTAATTTAAACAAAAACCACAGAGGGGTGTGAGTCACTATTCCCATTAGTTTGGACGAGTAACACATTAAATCAAAATCATATGAGATTATTTTAACTATTTTTAAATATATCCGACACATGCTGGGAAAGTATCTAATAAGTGTTGATATCCAACATAGACGTACTATCTTCTTAGAAGCGTCCATGTGTCTTAGTTCAACACTACGTGGCTTGTTTACAGGAAAATGAACTCCAATGTAGAGCAATAAGACATAAATGTTTTTATTTTTTCCAATAAAAAAAATGTTTCTAACAAAACAAACAGCAGCAAGAGCCTTCTTCCACACTGCATCAACATCAAGAGAACACAAGTCACAAAGACTAATGGCAAATACATACCCGATCAGTACAAATACATGTTTTTGGGACAAGGAAATCAGTTCAAATGTGCCAGTTTACGCAACTATATCACTTTTTGGCATCCATATACGAACAAGCTGGTCATAAAAACGAAGCAAGTAGCTTACCACCACCGCTCTCCTTTTTGCCACTTCTGACATATCTCCCCTCTCTGCCAATCCGCTCCATACGCAAGTGATTCATGTTTACAGTAAGTTTCAATCACCTCAGCTTTTTCTCCTTCAATCTTGACAATTGCAAAACCATTATGCATACATGCCGCCAATACCAGGTCTGGCAGAGAGGGATGGTGCTTAATTCTCCAAACTCCTCCTCCTAAACAAATCGATGTTTCATTTACTGGCTTTGAAATTGACCTCACATCCCACACCCTTAGGTATTCATCGTAACTGCCAGTAAATAAGGTATGAGGGTCACTCGGGCTCTTTGTAATGCAACAAATACCCATCTTATGGATTTTAGAATTTTGGAATGCCAAGTTTGAAGGACAATCCCGTAAATCCCAACAACTGAATTTACAGTCATCTGAACCGGTGTATAGCAGTTGAGGTTGGTGTGTATCAAAAGAAGTAGCCCAAAGCTCAAATTCGTGCGCCTTCCATTCTTGTTGTATTTCTAGTTTGGAGTCTAGAAGAGAGATTATTGATACTGAACCATCTGAAAGCCCCACTGAGATGGACGTAGCTGAGGGATTCCAGTCCGTGCACAGGCACATGGAGGAACTAACTTGTTTGCTAGTAACCTCTTTCAGAAAATTCCCCGCATCAAGGAGAGCATCAGATTGTTCTGCAGATCGTAGAGAAGTGAATTTCAATACACATGATGCATATAAAGGGGTAAAAAGAAATAAAAGAAAAAAAATTTGAAACATAAGCGTTTAGAATGTCATAAATGTTATAGCTCATATATTGCTCTACAAACATATTATCTAGGCTTAATACAACAGCCTCTTTTTTGTTTTGTTTTTTTCCTCGACAGTCCTGGATGTTTCAATGAGATGTTATATGAAAAAAATTAAGAGGAAACCAAAAAGAAAAAGGGGAAAAATAAAATAAAAACAATCAAGTACATATTATGTGTCATTGTTTAATTTATATATAACATCCCCTTGTGATCCTTGTTAGCCGTAAGGTTAAATTCATGATATGAAGTCTATGTAAGTGCTTCACTTTTCATTCATATTTGACAACTTTGTCATCTCCCAGATATTACTAAACTCAATTTCTTGTTGAGCCTCTGAAATATCTCCATATTGCAAAACACAAACACATGCATATATCTACAAATAGAGAGAGGATTAAGAACAGCATCTTTATTAAAAGGCCATGTTAGGCTCACAGAAAAACAAGGAAAAAGAAAGGAAATTTCCTCATAGTGCTTACAAACATTAATCATGGCATGTTTTACAATATTTTCTTATCCTCTTTTGGCCGTACTTTTTGAGAATCAAAATGGAACCTAGTTGTACAATAAAAATACATGGTTCAATGAAATTTAACTTCGAGGGCACACAATTTTATTTTTACTTTTTCCCGTAAGCCAATTAGAAGTTTCACATGAAAAAAAGTTGATTGAAATTCCAAAGTTGAAATAATTAAATCAAGTTGATCAGTCAGTCTATCAATTAAGTCGAACTCATGAAATAGTAATCCTCAATCGTTTTGACAGTAACATAGCAAGATAATATGGGCCAATACTAGTTATGCTTTGGTTGTTTTGGTGAAAAACATTTTTCGCATTTCTAGCATTTGGAATGATGAAAAAGGAGTTATATAGCCGGAAAATATTTTTCACTTTCAAAAGGTGCAAAACATTTTCCACAAGTCTTACCAATGTCACCACTACCACCATTACCATCATGGCTGTTTGGTTAAAATGTACCAAGAAATAATTAATTTGTCTTTTTTTCCCCCCAATTTTTGTTAAGATTGAATACATACTGGTTTTATTTTTTCCATCGCTAATATATCTATCATGGTTGAACTTAAAAGTACGGAGGAAAAAAAGTTTAAAATGTAATAATTATATCAATAAGTGAAAATTTATTTTCTCAAGTTTTGGCACCGCTCAAAACAAAATCTTGGTTCCACCCTTGTTGTTGGCACTAGTTATGCTTTGGTTGTTTCGATGAAAAATGTTTTTTGCATTTTCTAGCATTGGGAATGATGAAAAAATGAGCTTATATAGGCATAAAATATTTTATACTTTTAAAAGGTGCAAAACATTTCCCAAAAGTCTTACCAATGGCACCACTACCACCGTTGCGCTGTGGTCATTGAGTAAAAAAGTACCAAGAAACAATTAATGTCTCCTTTTTTTTCTTTTTCTTTTTTCATATTTTGTTACAATTGAATACTGGTTTAATTTTTTCTTTAGAAATTGTCTTCATTCCTAATATATCTATCATGGTTGAAGTTAAAAGTACGGAGGAAAAAAAAGTAATAATTATATCAATAAATGAAATTTTATTTTTCATGTTTTGGCACCCCTCAACAAAATCTTGGTTCCACCCTTGTCGTTGATATTGATGCCACCCGATCACCACAACCACTACTATTATAATCGCTAGCACATCAGTTTCAAGATCATAACTAAACATAAGAAAAAGTTTTCTACAGAAGCAAAAGGACTGTTAATATATGATAGTTATCTAGTAAAGGACTAAAAACCAAAGAATTGGCATATGGACATACCTCCAGCTGCTGATCCATCCGAACGGCATTCTAGGTGATGAAGCCTCAAGTAACCATCTGCATCGGCTTGAGCAAGCAACGGACCAACAATGGCTCCAACCGGGCTCCATTTTATATCAAAAATTCCCGCTGTCTCCACACGGTGAAACAGTTCAAGCCGTCCAGCATCAGCATCTACATTGAAGAGCGATATGCTTCCTGATCTTCTGGGCTGATCACCCTCTTGCAGCGTATAAGTCGAGGCAGAAAGGATACGGTGGAACGAGTCATGAGGACAGAACTCCACGGCATCAACATTGCCATCTAGATAACAGTGTGCCACATCCATTACAAAATTATCCCTGTACAGTTTCACACACAAAAAGCCAAGTACCACACATGTTATCAAATTGTGAATCGTTTTGCTAAAATAGTGAATCGTGAATCAAAATATTCACTTTATTTAATATAATATATAATTTTATATATGTATTTATATAAACACTCACGTAGCGTTTAAAATGAAGTAAATAACAATATAATTATATTACATATATGTATTTATCTCCTTTTATTTCTTGATTGTGCAAACAAAAACAAAAACATAACTGAATTGCAGTGAACCGCAATGTACCGTAGTGAATTGTAAATTGAATAACCCGATTCACTCAATTTTCGATTCAACAGCACAGTTCAAATCGTCATAGTCAAAACTCGAATCGAATCATGAATCATACAATTCTAACAACCATGATCTCTCTCTCTCTCGTAGTCAAAACTCAAGTTAAGATCAGTTGAGCATTTCATCGAACAGTTTATGGGCACAAGCTGAAACTGAAAGGTTTTCCAAATCTAGCATTCACAATGTGGGTTTGACATACAAACTAGTGTTATAAGAAAAGAAAGTAATAGAGTATATAAGTGACAGACCAGAGAAGAAACATAGTTACCGTTAAGTTAGTTGGAAATTACAAGAGACAACGAAAGCTCGTGCACTTAGGTCTGCACTAAACGTTGGTATATAATTACTTTACATTATTTAATTTTACTCTTATATAAACGTACTATTAATCATGTAATAAAATTATTTATAAAATTTGAACTATTGACTTTAAAAATATTAAGTAGACACCCAAATCATAAATTAATTATATTTTTTATTTTAAAATATAAAATTATTTATATTAAATAATATCATAACTATATGGGCTGGTTGGAGAGTTTTTATATTATCTATGAACAGGCTTAAAAATGAAGTACAGGCTCGACCCTAGCCATTCTATTTGAACTTAAAAAAAAATAATTTCAGGACACTTAATTCAAATTTTAAAATTTTAATTCTTATTATATTTTAGGGGAATTTTTTTTAAGGTTCCTGATATTAAGATTTTACAGCATAAAGGACACTCAATATTTTCATGATGTCTAAGGTCCCTCAAGTTAATCCAGAGAAAATTGATCTAGAGAAAATTGGTCCAGAAAAAATTCTCTCCAGAGAAATTCTGAAAATTTCTCTGAACTTCGGAATTTCTCTCCAGAGAAATTCTGGATTTATCTCCAGAGAAATTTTGAATTTCTCTGACTTCGGAATTGTTCGGAATCTGTTTTAACCAAGTTTCTCTGACTTCGGAATTTATCAAATGTGTTTTCATAATGTGTTTTAACCAAATTTTTCTGACTTCGAAATTTATCAAATGTGTTTTCATAATGTGTTTTAATCAAATTTCTCTAACTTCGAAATTGGTCTCCAGAGAAATTTTGAATTTTGTGTTCTGTGCATGTATGCGATGGGTCTGTGATAGCCGTGTGTGTGTTGTATGTTTTGTGGTGTGTAACGTGTATCCATCTTCCTCTCCCTTATCCGAGTGTGCTGCTGTGTGTCTATATCAGTGTGTGATGCATGTGATATCTGTGTCTGCAGATGAGAAATCAACCCTCCTCAACAATCCGAGCAAGAGAGTGCATGTGTGTGTGAGTTGTCTGTCTGCTGGTCGTGTTTGTGTGTGTTATGTATCATAGCTTTGACACCTCTCTGTTCTCTCTCTCTCCCTCTCTCTCTCTCTCACATCTAGCCGGAAACAATGGTGGTTTGCTGAAAAGAGAGGAGAAGCGACGGTTGATGGCAGCGGTAGTGGCATGTGGTGATGTTGGGGTTAAGGCGATGACATATGGGTTGCTTTTGGCAGTGTGTGTGGTGGTTGATGGAAGCAGCCAGAGGGAATGAATGATGCAGAGGGCCGGCAACCATAGACGAGAAGCTAGGAAGGGAGCGATGATGGCAGTCAGCTGACGATGGTAGTGATTAGGATATATTGACTTGAGAGAGTTAATTTTCTCTGTGATATATTGGTATGGAAGTTGAGGGAATTTAGACATCATAATATAATATTGTAGATCTCTTCCATTACAAAAATTGGAAAAGGGACCTTAGACCAATTTTTTCTATATTTTAATGTGAATTTATTAATAAAGATAAAATTTTAAATTTAAATTTATTTTTTTTTTCATATTACACCCTAATCAATTATATGTGTTCTTCAATTTCTATATCTTCTTCTTAAAGTTTTAATTATTTTCTTTTCTTTTCTTCTTTTTTCTCATTCTAAAATTCCAATCCACCCTATTAAAATTCACAATTATCATCAATATTATTATTTTTTATTATATTGTTACTTGTAAATAGAAAAAAATTTAAATAAAATTAAATAATGAATGAGAACAATAATAAATAAATAATCAAATTTAAATAAAGAAAGAAATTCAAAATCAGGCCACAAATCAAGTGAATTGATTGACAAGACAATTTACAGGATGTTTCAATCCAGCTTAATACCTATAAAAATAATAATAATTAAGATCTCATTTATTAACTATATATTTTAGTTAAAAAGTTAATATAAGTTGTCATATTACTCTCTTTACTTTCTATATATTTTTTTATAAAAAGTTAAAAAATTATTAAAATAACATATTTCCAAATAAAACCTAATTTAGCACATAAATCTCTGACATGCTTTCATTTAGAAAACTTGCAGCTTTGAATGATCACAAAGTAGAAATGGCAACAGGCCAGGATGGGGTTGGGTATTACACTCCCCATTCCCGATCTTCAAAGGTATAAAATTTCTCGTCTTCGTCCCCGATCCCCCCGCCCCTAACGGGTATTGAGTTTCCTCGACCCCGAAAAATCCCCAACCATTTTTTTTTTTTTTTAATTTTGCATATCCCATTTTATTTTTTTAAATTTTTTTTGAGGCAAATAAAAATATAATATATATATATATATATATAAAAGCATAATCCAGCAATGTCCAAACATAAACATCCAAACAACAACAACAACACCAACGCAACAAATAAGATACAAAACAACACCCATACCACAAAAAATAATAACAACAACAACAACATCCAAACAACACCATCCAAACAACACCTATTTTTTGCTTAAAAAAAAAAAAATACCACTTGTGAATTTTGCAAAGTAGCACGTACAACCAACATTATTAACTAAGTTAACTTCTAAAATCAATAAGCATCTCTCAAAGATATTCTATGGATCCATACCCTCAAAATAATCCATGCAACATAATATCTTGACTCTCAAATGTCCAACCAAAAAAAAAAAAAAAAAAAAATCAAAAAAAAAAAAAAAAAAAATAGTACCATTAGTCTATTATAACATGGAACAATAGTTGTTCAAATAAAACATATAACATCAATATCACAATAATAAAACAACATTGTTTTCCCAAAAATCTGATATAACCACAACTTTCATCGTCTTCTTTAACTTGAATTTATGTTAAATAACAAAAGGAAAAAAAAAATCAATATTAATAATAAGATGTAAAAAACGTTAACAATTAAAACAAAAAAAATGACAACTACCACAAAAGTGCCACACGGCTCATCCAAGTCGATTTCATCATCATCATACACTGATTCCAATGTTGAAGTTCCTAAAAAGTAAAGAATATAAATTAAGTATTGAAATTATTCCATAGTAATATAAAATTGAAATAATAATATATAAATTTACTTGAGTACTTTTCATCTCTATAACCCACAACCAACTTTGTGCACACATTAATGTTTCTAATGTGTTTGGATGAAGTCTACTAAGATGTGGACTCACCAACCTTCCACTAGTGCTAAATGCTGACTCAGAAACAACGGTGGATACATGAATAGCTAAAATATCTCTAGTTATTGCCTGTAAGATCGGATACTTTGGTCCATTGGCTTTCCACCAATTCAAAACATCAAAACCTGAAGTTCTTGGCAAAACATCATCTTCTAGATAATGGTCCAACTCTGATCTTACATTCTTCATTTTTTTACTTCTCTTTCTATTAATAAACAAATTATACTCTGGAAGGGTCTCTGTAATAATTTCTGGATGAATAGAAAATTCACCAACAACATCGGTCTCCATACCAACTCGGTCCTGATACTCTTACAACAAATCATAACAAATCTGACGAACCCTATCAATTTCCTCTTCAGCTTTGTCTCCATAAAGTTTTTTAAAATAAAACTTCAATACACTCATCTTGTACTTAGGATCAAGTACAACAGCAACTCCAATAACACCATGTATCACTAACTAATATTTATCAAAAAATTTCACCATTTTTGATGTCATTATTCTAACCACTTCAATTTCACAAGAGAGGCATTGAGACAGTGCCATCCTAATCTCACATAAGGCTAGGAAACAAACATTGGATGTGAGATACTTACTACCAGAAAATAACTCTGTGATAGAAAAAAATATCTTAAACCTCCCACTGATCTCTCTAGCAAACTCTCATTCTTCCTCACTTAGCACGGTCTTATATTGGGGCTCTCTATTTTTCAACCGAGAAAAGACATTCTTATACAATAAGGCAGTTTGAAGCATCAAGTATGTTGAATTCCACCTAGTTGTAAAATCAAGTCCTAATTTCTTAGTATGTGGATTGCACAATTGATTGACTGTTTCTTCAATTTTTTCTTGTCTTTTAGGTGTTGCGGTCTAATAAGCTACACTCTTCCAAATTTTCTCTACACCCACTTGTATGACATCCAGTTCATCTTTGACAATCAAATTCAAAATATGCACACAACAATGCATATGAAACAAAGTACCACCCAACAAAAGCGATGTATTACTCAACTTATCCATCAACATGGTAATCATGGCATCATTTGTGGAGCAATTATTAACAATAACAGTAGAGATTTTTTTGTCAATATTTCAGTCCATCATACACTTAAGCAAAGTATCACAAAGAATTTCTTTTGTGTGTAGACATGGAACGTAAATAAACCTAAAATACAATATTCATGAACAATTATTAATAACATGCAAATTGGATTGAATAAGATAGAATTTTTGAATGATTTGCAAATTTACAAATATATACCTCAAAATGTGACTTCGCAATGTCCATGAATCATCAATAAAGTGTGATGTGAGAGTCATGAATCCTTTCTTTTGATTACTAGCACTCCATATATCAATTGTAATTGTCACCCTACTTTTATTATTCTCCACCAAACTCAATGTCTTCACCCTCTCAAAATCATAAATCTTTAAAATATTACTCTTTATCGTATTTCGAGAAAATACTTTAAACAATGGTTAGAGTGCTGCTGAATATCATTTAAAACCAACCTGATCTACGATAGAGAGGGGATATTCATGCAATATTATGGCACATGACAACTCTTTCCTAGCAAAATCTTGATAAAAAATATAAGAATTCATTTTTGGACTCTCTCCATTAAAGTTGTTAGTTAAAGCTTTTTGCATCATGTCCATTACTTTTTTCCTAGTACAACTCTTATAGTGATCATGCAAATGCCTAGTTCCATTTTTGGAATCACCTCCAAGATGCTTATTACAATAATTATATATTGCCTTCCACACTTGTAGCTTGTTT